GAACATTCACACGGGACCAGCTAACTCGCCAGAACGCTCAGGCGTTCCTGGAAGCAGAGGCCCATGGGTCCACATTCACTTCATGTTTCCGTTCACTGCATTTCTGCTGTAAAGTCTCATAGGGATCTCATGCGAGGAAGAGGTGCAAGATTTGCATGCACTCAACTGATAGACCACCTTCTACTGAATCTGCTGAAATGCTGAGTGCACTCTCGGAGGCTCTCCTCTGAAATCCCCCCCCCCACCTGAAACCAAGTGAACGCACTGGAGGCTGAGGAAGTGCAGGAAGGCAAGCTGCAAATTGTACTGGTGAACTGTAATGAAATAACTGGGGCCAGGTATGAGTGATATCAGGTGGGTGTCTTCCCGGTACTCTCTTAGGCAGCACCTGCTAAAAATATCTAAAACACTGATGAGTTCTTGGTTATTGCTGGTTTTAATTCTCTGAATGCTTTAATTGCTTTTACTAATAATTTTATTCATAGAATCATAGAATTATAGATGGAAGGGATCCTTTGATCATCTAGTCAAACCCCTCAAATTGTTATAGTTTTATTCTATTTGTAAACTGCTTTGAGGGATTTTTTTCTACAATCAAGTGGCATATAAATTTTATGAAATGAATAAAAATAATTAAATGTGAGAATATTATGCCACTGCTTTTTCATAACTGGCAGAAGGCCAAGTCCTGTCTGGTTAACATATTAAAGTTATTTGAGTGTCAGCAAGCACAGAATGGCCAGTTGATGCTGTACGCCTGGACTTCCAATAAGCTTTTGATATTGAGACTGGGACTGTCTACTAACATTTTATTGATGGGTCAAAAAAGCTTTTGATGAATTACTTGTCTCCCCAGACTCCTGAGCCAGCTTGGTAGGAATGGAATTAGAGGGGAGTTTCTCTTACAGAACAAAAGATGGCTTGAAACAGGAATGGAGAGCAGGAATAAACAAGCTGTTCTCCTGATTGGGGGGGGGGAGAAATGGATACTGCCCCCCCCCAGGAGTGAGCAGTGAAGGAGCCAGGTTTGCTGAGGATGCCAAATTGTTCAAAGGGATTCAACCAAAAGGGAATTGCGGGGAGTTCTAAAAGGGTCTCTGCAAAACGAGTGGAATTGGCAGGTGAAACTCAGTGTGAGTGCGAGCAGAGTCATGTGCATGGTTGCCCCCTGCCCCCCCTTCAGCAAGAAAGGGGGGGTTGTGAAATCTGGGGTGCCATTAAGAAGCCATGGAGGGCAGCAGGGGGAGACAGATTTAATCCACAGGGTGCAACCTACCATGACATTTAGTTGGACTTCCACAGCAGAGCTTCCTGATGGATTCTCCCCTGTGTCAAAGAATGCTAAGAGGCAGGGTGACGCCCCCCCCCCAAGTCTATGGGTAACATGGGGAAGAGCCACATGGGGGAGACCAACTGCAGAGCACAAATTTGATTCAACCCTAAAGCCTTGTGTTCATAAACTAAAAATTGTAGGATGTATATATCACTTTTTAGGCAGGCCTCACAAAGCAGTTTACATAAGATTATTCCAGTCATAGCACTCATTACAAAAAAGCTACACTACATAATAGAAAAGAAAAGTTGTTTGTTTAGAAAATGCTGTTACTGCTTTAAAAAAAGGGTTAGACACATCTGGACTGGTCTGATTCTGTATAGGCAGGTCTTTCCTTGAGGGACAGAGCTCTCCTGTGACTCTGAGCAGGCAGACTTTTCTCGCTTCAATCCTGGTGTTTCCACGGGGGGGGGGGGATGGAAGTGCCCCTTTCCCACAGTCCTAGAGAACCACAGCTAGTCAGTCCAGAAAACCCTGAGCCAGGTACACAAATGGTCTGACTAAGGAAATGGGAGCTTTCTATTCATCTCACAGGGATGTGTAATGATAAAGGGGGGCAGGGATGTACATCCATGCCCTGGAGCTCTTTGCAGGAAAAGTAGAATATAAAGTGGAGATGTCAGGGATTGAACCTGGGACCTTCTGCTCACAAAACAGAAGCACTGCCATGGAGCTATCACCTCTCTGTAAATTGCTAGCTCTCTTGGCTGTCATCATAGACAGGTGAAAGTTGCATTGGACTTGGTGAGGCTCTTTTTTCTCTTACCAAACATACAGTGGTACCTCGGGTTACATATGCTTCAGGTTACATATGCTTCGGGTTACAGACTCTGCTAACCCAGAAATAGTGCTTCAAGTTAAGAACTTTGCTTCAGGATGAGAACAGAAATTGTGCTCCAGCGGCGCAGCAGTAGCAGGAGGCCCCATTAGCTAAAGTGGTGCTTCAGGTTAAGAACAGTTTCAGGTTAAGTACGGACCTCCGGAACGAATTAAGTACTTAACCCGAGGTACCACTGTATACAGAATTACACTGTTACACTGCAGTTAAAACAAATGTAGCCCCAAGACCATGGGTTGGCAAACTATGGTCCGCGGGTCAGATCCGCCCGCATATGTGCTTTCTAGATCCGGCCCGCGGACGGTGTGGGATCCAGGCAGCCGGCATAGCGTGCGCATGCACAATGGTTTTTGTGACTCAGCCAGGTTTGGGGGTCAAAAGTGAGGCAGGCGGCTGCTGAAGACAAGCCCCTTCTCCGCCCGTCGCACGCGCAGCAATTTTTTCTTCCGGGGTGGGGGAGAGGGAAAAGGAGCCACAGTTTGGATTTCAGGAAGGGCAGTTGCGGCGGCAGGGGCTCAGAGGCGCCTCGGGAGCGACGCCCGCCGGAGTCTGTGGCAGCGGTGGAGGAAGCGGGGAGCGCCTGGGCGGCTGCACTCCAATGCAGCTCTGCGCTCTGCTGGGGAGGCCGCTCATGAGCTACACCAGTGTTTCCCAACCTTTTTTGGGCAAAGGCACACTTGTTTCATGAAAAAAATCTCGAGGCACACCACCATTACAGCCCCGTGACGTCAGCGCGCAGCGTCACGCCGGGAGGGACATGAATTGCTAGCAAATTACATAATCACCTCCTTGAGGGCTGGCTCATCTTCTCCGAAGGCAGAACCCCATTAATTAACAGCACAGACTCACACCATAGCCAAAACGAGGGGGGAAAACCTCAGTCATGCACAGTCATGCACATGTGGGGGCTAAATGAGGACGAAGACCGGGCAGAGAGCAGGGTTCAAATCACCCCACCTGGCCAGGACAATCCCTGGGTGCTCCCTTGGGCCACTCGCCTGACCCACCTCGCAGGGCTGTTGTTGCGAGGATAACACGGGGAGAACCACGCGCGCCCCCGGAAGGTCCTTGGAGGAGAAAGCGGGCAATGAATGCAATGCACGAAATATATGAGAGGCGACCAGGTTTTGCAGGTGAGGGGCCCCCGCCAGCCTCCGCTTCCAACACCAGGCGCAACGACGCCGAAGTTTCCCCCCGGGCTCGGCTCGGGGAGCAGCGCTGCTCCCCCCCGGCTCCCCTTCGCCCTCCCGGCTCTCTCTGCCGCCCACTGGGGACCCCCCTCACCTGCCAAGTCCGGAGCGCCGGTGGAAGTTGCATGCATGCATGCAGGGCGCCGCGTTGCCATTGCATTGCACTGCACTCCATGCAACGCCTGCACGCATGCATTGCCTTGCACGCCCGCCAAGGGGTCTCCCCGTGGTCCGATGCGTCCCCTCCGGCGCGGATGCAGCATTGCAAAAATAAAAAACCCCCGACGCAGCCCTACCTGGGGGGCAGCCTCCGCCTCCCCCGCTCCGCCTCCGCGGGGATCCCCGGGCTCCATCCTGCCGCCCGATCTCCGGGGGGCGCAGGCAGGCTGCGTGGGGTCTGCGCGGAAGAGCCCCTGCCCGCCCGGCTGCCGCCGCTGCGCTCATTCCATGGCCGGGAGAAGAGCGCTTCAAACAAAACGCCTGGCCCGCCAGGCCACGCTGGGAAACGTAGTTTGCGCACCCCGCGCGGGCGCGGAGCCCAAGGGCGAGGGGACTACGGATCCCGGCAGCCCCCGCGCCAGGGACGGAGGGGGAGAGGCCGGGTGCAGGGATGGAGGGATGGGTGGGCGAGCGAGTGAGTGAGTGGCAGCCGCCAAGCCTTGGCCGAGAGCCAGGAAGGGCCTCCCCGGAGGAGGAGGAGGAGGAGGGAGGCGCAGAGCGGGAGGGAGGGAGGGAACCCCAGGGGTCATCTAGTGACGGCGCCCCAATCGAAAATTTGACTTTAAAAAAAAAAATCTTTCAATTTTTTAATTTTTCCCGCGGCACACCAGGCAACATCTCACGGCACACTAGTGTGCCGCGGAACAGTGGTTTGGAAACACTGAGCTACACGGTGCGAGCCAAGGAAAGGTAAATCGCCACCACCACCGCCTCATCTTCCCTCATGTGGGGAAAAGAACGTTTTTGCTTGAGCGGCGCCAGCCTGACTTGGCGTGGCCAACGGCTTTTCCCTTCACCCACGCATGCGCACACGCTCTCCAGGGCTGACAGGAATGGCACGCTTACCTCAGCCCAGTGGCGTAGCGTGGGTTGTCAGCACCCGGGGCAAGGCAAGTAATTTGCGCCCCCTAACCCGTGGATTTGCGCCCCCTAACCTGTGGATTTGCCCTAACCCCAGATGTTGCGCCCGGTGCGGCCGGCCCCCCCTGCACCCCCCACGCTACGCCACTGCCTCAGCCCCCCACCCACACCCACCCCACCTTACGAGAGAAATAAGAACTGTCAATGTATAAAATGCAAAGGAAGCAGCGTGGGTGTATGAGGGAACACCCCCCCCCAAAAAAAGTCACATTTGGGCAACGTTGGGGCTGGTCCCAATAAGGTGTTTTGCCAAAAATGTGGGTCATAATCATGGCAACATACAGTCTGGCCCCCCACAAGGTCTGAGGGACAATGGACCGGCCCCCCGCTGAAAAAGTTTGCTGACCCCTGCCCAAGACCAACTCAAAAGCATCCAGTATTTTGTGCATTGGGGGCGGGGGGGAGAGGATTGCTCCCTGGATTTTCTGTCTCTGGCAAGAGAATATACGCAGAGCTGCAGGGCGACATCCCCGTCCCCTGCGAGGCAAGTGCCGCTCACCTGGTAGGCATCCAGCTGTTCATCGGTAAATATCGTCTGCTTATTGCCCATCTTAAAGGGGGACTCCTCTCGGCACGCACAGGTATCCCATGGCAAGATTCAGGAGTTCTCTGTCCTGCAGGCATGGAGAGCTGCAGACGTGCAACTTGAGGAGCGAGTGGAAGAGAATCCCCGCGCCCGCATCGGGGAGGCTCCCGCCTGCCGTCTGGGCAGCAGCAACCAGCAAAGGCAGGAGGCAGGGGGTTAAAATCCCACGCGAATATCGCCCCCGAAGGCTGCCTCCTTCACGGCCCTACGTTTTCCTCGGGTGCAACGGAAGGGCTTCTCCGAAGGGCGAAAATCTGATGCGGAGCTTCCAGGGTCTGGAGAAACCATCTCGGCTGCCTCTGATCTCCAGCGCCCCCGGCGAAAGACCCCTCCCTCCTCTCTGCAGCTTCGCGGTGCGGGAAGGCTCTCCGCCACTAGGTGGCAGCCAAGAGCCCCTTTGGAAAAGAGACGCGCCTCCGCCCGACCTGCTTAGGGCCGAGGAAGATCGCGCCGCGGGGAGCGGGCCGACTTCGGAGTGTCACAGAACTCTTCTTCAGGCGTGATGCTAACCGCACTCGCCAAAAGGGCGGGGCAGAAGAAGCTGCTGCTTGAAACAGGTTGTAGGGCAAGGATGGCCAGTGGGATGCTCTTCATGGGATGATGGACTACAGCTCCCTCCTCACCCTGGCTAATGGGCCGTGGTGGGTGGGGCTGGTGGGAATTGCAGCCCAACAGCATCTGGGGGCACCACCTTGGCCCCACCCCTACTGAGACTAGCTTGTCCTCCCTGCAAAAAAGAGGGTGGGCTGTGATGTGTCTTCCTCATGCTGTTGTAGCATGTAAGTATTCCCCTCCACAGCTAATAACAGTGCCAGGTAAGGCCTCTTCCCTGCTTCCTCCTATTACCCAAAAAGAAAAGGACTTTGGGTGCACCAGACATTGGCTGTGTAGGCACCCTATATTTCATGCACACAACCTCCACCAAAGAATCCTGGGAACTGTAGTTTGCCAAGGGTGCTGGGGATTGTAGCTCTGTGAGGTGGAAACTGCAGTTGTCAGGATTCTTTGGAGGAAGTCCTGTGATTTAAATGTACAGCATGTGTGCAGACATGGAACATGTAGTTTGCTCTGAGCACATCAGATTTTTCAAGCTCCCTGCCTGTGTTCAATGAGTTCAGACATATGAAAGAAAGAAAAGGAAAACACTGATAGAGTTTAAAGAAAGTAAATCTGTTCCCACTGTAAAATCCTAGTTGATCAATAGAATTACACAGGCAAACATTTAGATCCCTTTAATCGTGAGATTACCTCTGTAGCAATAAGCTTGTAGCTTTAAAAATAGTGTGTCCTTGTTTGCTCCTGTCTTAGGGTGGAGAAAGGACAGGCAAGATCCAGCCAGGGACTCTGGATCCTTTCAAGAAATCGATGGGAAGGAGAAGCAGCTGAATATGACATTGTGATTGCCCATCGTACTTAAAAACAGAACTTGGGTCTTATATCATCTTAAAAAACTAACCAAGTTATTGCAGCATACGCCAAGGATCTTTTTCTGCTTGAAGGCCACATGCTGGAAGTGGACAGGGTCACTGGATGTGACTCTTCCCTTTCCACACTGTGAGGGGTCATCTGTTGTTGTTTAGTCGTTTAGTTGTGTCCGACTCTTCATGACCCCCTGGACCAGAGCACGCCAGGCACTCCTGTCTTCCACTGCCTCCCGCAGTTTGGTCAAACTCATGCTGGTAGCTTCGAGAACACTGTCCCGCCATCTCGTCCTCTGTCGTCCCCTTCTCCTTGTGCCCTCCATCTTTCCCAACATCAGGGTCTTTTCCAGGGAGTCTTCTCTTCTCATGAGGTGGCCAAAGTATTGGAGCCTCAGCTTCAGGATCTTTCCTTCCAGTGAGCACTCAGTGCTGATTTCCTTAAGAATGGATGCGTTTGATCTTCTTGCAGTCCATGGGACTCTCCAGAGTCTCCTCCAGCACCAGAATTCAAAAGCATCAATTCTTCGGCGATCAGCCTTCTTTATGGTCCAGCTCTCACTTCCATACATCACTACTGGGCAAACCATAGCTTTAACTATAGAGACCTTTGTTGGCAAGGTGATGTCTCTGCTTTTTAAGATGCTATCAACTACAGTGTTCCAATTGCCATCACCCTCAACAAACTACATTTCCCAGGATTCTTTGGGGGAAGCCATGTGCCACCAGGGTGCTTTCTTTGCCCACCTATCCCCAAGGCATGTTTATGCAGAAGTGAAGTCCCTCTGAGGTCACACTTACTCCCAAGTTAGTGGGCCTGAGACTTCAGCCTGACAACCCCAAAGGATGCTTGACCATTGCTCCCATTGGCTGTTTTGCAATATTTATCCAAGCGAGATAAACTTGCCATGTGACATCAGCACATTTCTGTGGGTGCTGCTGTGTTATCAGCTCCACCATCTTTCATCATGGGTGTTGCTTCAGCTTCACTTTGTTTTGAATTGTTTGCAAATGGCCAACCAATTGCCCAAAGATTGCATGGCCAAATAAAAATTTATCACAGGCAATCAAAGGTTTTGCAGATAAAGCCTTGGATCAACATTGTTGAAAGCGTACAGGACTAGGAACCAATCACCTTTCTGCATGTGTTCCTTTGTTTGCATCAGGGATGGGGAACGTGCCGCCCTGCAGATGCTGCTGACTTACAGTCCCCCTCCTTAGCCATTCTGGATGTTGCTGATGGGATATACCTGAAGGAGCGTCTCCACCCCCATTGTTCTGCCTGGACACTGAGGTCCAGCGCCGAGGGCCTTCTGGCGGTTCCCTCCCTGCGAGAAGCCAAGTTCCAGGGAGATGGCCTTCTTGGTAGTGGCACCTGCCCTGTGGAACGCCCTCCCGCCAGATGTCAAAGAGAAGAACAACTACCAGAAGACATCTGAAGGCAGCCCTGTTTAGGGAAGCTTTTAATGTTTAACAGACCACTGTATTTTAATATTTTGTTGGAAGCCACCCAGAGTGGCTGGGGAAACCCAGCCAGATGGGCGGGATATAAATTGTTGTTGTTGTTTGGGAGTCCAACATCTGGAGGGCAACAGGTGGGGAAATCTGCATTAAACAGTTTCTCTCCCATCAGCAAGACTCCTGACCACAGCAACCCTGCCTTGTCTGGATCTGTGTTGAGTGTGCTCACTGCCACTCCCCCAATCCATTCCTAAACTGATGCCCAACACTGACTGGTCTTCCCCAGCCAGAGGCCCTCCACATGCTGCTGGACAACAAGTCCCATCATCTCTGACCATTAAGACTGGACTGATGGAAACACAGGTTCTTCACCTCTGGGTTGCAGGCACTCCACTCCCCCCCCCCCCGAACAGAGATCATCTTTTTTCCCCTGGGGAAAAGAACATTCTGTTGACTCTTTTTGCAGAGGGCATGTTCAAATTTCATTTGCATAACCTCCCAGTGTTGTCATAAATCTTCAGCTCCTTCCTCAGGGCCTCTAAAACACAATGATTTGTGGACATCCAATTAAGCAGAAGGTTGGGAGGTTTGTGCAGTGCGAAGTTAAAACTTTCCCATGGAGGAAAGTGCTAGAGATGGCTATAGGAGAGGGAGGGAGGGAGGGAGGGAGGGACTGATTGACTGGGTTTCCCCAGCCACTCTAGGCAGCTCCCAACAGAATATTAAAAACATGATAAAACATCAAACATTAAAAACTTCCCTAAACAGGGCTGCCTTCAGATGTCTTCTAAAAGTCAGATTGTTGTTTATTTCCTTGAGATCTGATGGGTGGGCATTCCACAGGGCAGGCACCACTACCAAGAAGGTCGTCCCTGGTTCCCTATACAGTGGTACCTCTGGTTACGTACTTAATTCGTTCCAGAGGTCCGTTCTTAACCTGAAACTGTTTTTAACCTGAAGCACCACTTTAGCTAATGGGGCCTCCTGCTGCTGCCGTGCCACCACCGCACAATTTCTGTTCTCATCCTGAAGCAAAGTTCTTAACCCGAGGTAATATTTCTGGGTTAGCGGAGTCTGTAACCTGAAGCGTATGTAACCTGAAGCGTATGTAGCCCGAGGTACCACTGTAGCTTCACTTCTCACAGTGAGGGAACTGCCAGAAGACCCTCAGAGGAGGACCTCGGTGTCTGGGCTGAATGATGGGGGTGGAGGTGCTCCTTCAGATCTATAGGGCCAAGGCCATTTAAGGCTTTAAAGGTCAACACCAACACTTTGAACTGTGCTCGGAAACACACTGGGAGCCAATGAAGATCCTTTAGGACTGGTGTTACATGGCCTTGGCGGCCGCTCCCAGCCACCGGTTACTCAGAGGGTGTCAGTCCTCAGAGGTTTATTTATTCAACAGGCTCAAAAAGTCGCTGACTTGCTAAGCTGTTCAGCTGTGTTCTTTGCCATCTGTCTGAGGACAGAAACAGCCATATATTGCACGGGTCTGGGCCAAGCTGCTTGGCTGCTTGCGGTGAAGGTCAAGTGCGTGCCGCTGCCACCCAATTTGACCCACACAAGCCAACCAGGCTGGCAGCTGTGTCTTACTTCACCATGCACAACCGTGTCCCCCACCACACATAAGAGCAGGAGAACACAGATCAGACACATGGTGCACACAGCTCTGTGCTTCAACATCTCACATGGTTTTAACTGTGGAGACGCAACACACAAATAAAATGATACACCTGTGGCCTGAAGCCAGTGATAGGGCTGGCCCCAGTATTGCATGTTGCAAACCTGAAGTGCAGCCACCTCCACTCACTTGAAGGGGGCTTCAGTTTCAAGTGGGCATGAGATTGCAGCCATGGATCTGAAGTGTGATTATGCAGAACAAGTCCTGTGGCTTTCAATGGAGCTCACTCTTGTAAGCATGCATAGAATGTAGGCATAGTGGAATGAGATCAGAGGCCTGTCCAGTCTGGCATTCGGCTCTCACAGCCACCAACCAGACATCTGGCTCAACATGGGTTCAGATCCGGCCCATGAGGCCATTATCCTCAAACCACAGCCACCTATCGCACACCTGGCATTGCATGTGGCACAAGGTTGCGGCAGGTGGAGACATCAGGTGTGGGGAGTTAAAGTGCTCTCTCAGTTGGCATTGACGAAGGAAAGTAGGATTTGGCCCCACCACATCTGCCGGTGGGTAGCCTCAGGGACCTTAAAGCAAGCCACTCTTTGCAAGCCACACTTTGAAGCTCTTGCTTTGGGACTTCAGTGCACTCAGTCATCTGATATTATTGTAACATCAGGTGTTTGACAGGTGGGAAGTCCTTCTCCCCTGCCAATTCTGCCCACGGCACCTTCCCCATTGTGGGAAATATGCATCAAGGCATATTGCCTCCAGCCATGGAAGCATAACATGTAGCCATTGTGCCTGGACACAGGATATAGTGACCCTGCAACCAGGTACCATGTTTATTCAGCAATAACTGCTACTGAATTCCCAAGTAAGCGAGCACACAATGTGGCAGTTGGGCATCTTTCCTAAAAAAGTAAGTTTTCTCAATGCACATCAGGATATAGCAACTCTGTGGAACAGGCCAGTTGGAAGTAAGCACCATTCAGGGAGACTTTACTCATCTTAATAGCGTAACAACCCTATTACAAGAAATGTTGATTAAGCATATGGATTTTAGATGGCTAATTGATCTGTCAATTACATTTGCAAGTGATGAAAACAATATTTCGGAGGCCTTTGTTTTTAGATGATTCTCACGTGCACACTACAAGCATGCTGAGATTAGAAGACATTCCCTCCTCAGCGAGAGAAACCAGAGGCGGCTGCCTCCTCCGCTGCGCTTTCAACCAAGAGGACGGTATTTAAAAAATAATACTCTAGAAATAAACCAAGGCAAGCCGGCTCTCCTGGCGCTCCCGGGAGGTCGTGGGCGGAGCGACCCCCCACCTCGCCCGCAGCGCCCCCTAGCGGGCCGAGGCCAGTGGGCGGAGTCCGTCGCCCGGTGGCCCCGCCCCACGCCGGCCAGTGAGGAAGCGCGGAGGCGTGCCCGCCAGAAGCCCCGCCTTGCCCGGCGGCTCCCGGCCAACCAGCTGCCACATCCGGGGCAGGCGGCGGCTCCGATTGGCCGCGCCGCGCCGGCGAGCGCGAGGTGGAGCGGGCAGAGGCCGTCGAGAAGGCCGCGGCTTCTTCTGTCGTCGCGGAGCGAAAGAGGCGCCTCGAAGGGAAGGAGCCGGAAGAGGAGAAGGAGCCGCCGCCATGGCCTGGTGGGCGCCGAAGGTGAGGCGAGAGGGGCTGGCTCCCCTCAGGCCGCCCCTCCCTCTCGCGTGACCTTGCGTGACCTTCCCGGGGGGGCGGCCTCTCCGCGCCTCCCCTGCAAAGAGCCCCTCGTGGCCCCGGGCTCTTCTCCCCGCTCCGCCCGCTGGGCCTGCTGGCCGGGAGGGCGCGGGCGGAGGAGGCTGCCCGCCCCGTGGCGCCGGCGCTGGTCTTTGCTTGACCCGGCAGCTTCCACCCCGAATTGCCCACAAAGGACATTTGTTTATTGCTATTAATTAGTCCTTGGTTCTTGTTGGGTGCTAATAGGCACATGTGTTCATGGCAGGAAAGCGAAGGAAGGAAAGGGCAAGTAACTGAGGAAGGAAGGAGGAAGCGCTCTTGAAGCAGAAGAGAGGCCCCGGGGTGCTTCTCCTCGGGGCATCTGTTGGGTTTCTGTGAGCTGGCCCAGTGGTGAAGGGCTGGACGCTGACCCTGGAGGGACCAGAGTTCAAATCCTTAGCCATGAAACTCACTGGGTGACCTTGGGCCTGCCCCTTGTCTCTTGGCCCAGCCTCCCTCACAGGGTTGTGAAGAGAAAATTTGGAAGGGAGAACCATGTACTGCACCTGAGCTCCTTGAAAGGAAAGGTGATATATAAATGTGATAAATATGTAAACAGGATTCTGGGCTAGTTTCTGTTTCACACAGTGCCCAACCAGGTACCTCTGGGATGCTCAGAAGCAGGGTTGGAAGGCAACAATTTTGTTAGTGTGGGAAGAGAGTCACGGATAAAACTTCTGAGTAAATTTCTCTCACCTCTCACTCACATGTGGATAAATGACTGGAAAGGGGAGGGATGGCAGTCATCTTTCTTGGTATATTTTGGTTTTTTAAGTGACTGATAGTATTTTTTTTCCTCAAATCTAAGCTTCAACCCGTTTTCATCCCATCCTTTATTGGAGGTATTATTCCATTGGATTTCCTCACACACTTAGTTGGCTTGCTTTCTTCTAATTAAAATGCCTTTGTTACTCTTTCCCAAGGGCTTGAAGTGTGTTAGCAATAGTATTCAAATTTTAAAATAATTGCAGCAACTCTGTGAAAGAGTGAGTTGGGTAGACTGGCAATGCACTTAAAAGTGTTTGGTTACTTTGTGGAGTGTTCCCTGTCAAGCTCAGAAGCGCTTTTGTGAAGGGGATATTCTGTTTATCGTCATGGCTTTGCATCCTTTATCAGCAGAAGATTGCTTTTGCTGAATATGTCAAAGGAGCTGTGTTACTAAAGAGCAATGTGACAGTTCCAGATGCTTCATCACCCCTGTTTTCTCTGTATGATGCTCACTATCATGCAAAGAGAAGAAAAGTCCAAAGTGCTGGTGCAAAAATGCCCATGAGAGATGGTCAGAGTTTGTTAATAAGCTTTGCAGCTGAGTGTGTGACTTGAACTTTGAGGCTTGTTCCCACACAGAGCTATCCTGTGGTTGCAGCAGTGTGAATCCTAAATCTGAAGAAGGGGTGAGAACACTTTGCTCCACGAGGGAAAACACTCTGCTTGCTGCCAAAATCTAGCCTGCCAGATGTAGTCTATAGGTCATACTGGTTCCTGTCAGATGAATGTTTCTGAATCAGGTTTGAGCAAATGTGATAGTTACTGTGATCTGTGTATGCACCCAGCCAGGTGTGGCAACAAACGTGTCATATTCCAGACTACTATGGAACATTATGTTGGCTGTCCTTTCCTCAAATGGGTGAAGAGGTTTTTCCTGCGCTGCTCTTGTCCATTAGGGAGAATGGTTGAGCGCTTGGATTATGCAGGGTCAGTGGAGCATTTTGCTACTTGTGCATGTCAAGATTAAATGTGACATGGCCTCTTGTCCTCAAGTAATCTTGACAATTTTCTGGCTTGCTGAAGTGATACAAAAAGAATGGGCTTGGTAAAAATTGATATTCTACTCTGACTTCTCTTTTGGAGCTGGTGAATTTGGCTGGTCATACTGCAGCATCTTTCAATCTCAGAATATGTAGTGATGGTATTCTATCAGATATGTAAGAGGTGACATTGTAGGTCTGTTGCTGCATATGGTGCAATTCATGTCCTTCCATAGTGTCTAGTTAAATATGTTTTGCAGATTTTCATGCTACTTCATATTGCAGCTCTCTGTAGCACATCACTGCAACAGACTCTGTATTTGATGTGATTGTTGTGGATGCAATAAGCTTTCCTCATCACAATTTCAAGAGTACTTATGGAATTGTATTTGCAATTATGGTTGTGTTGAGAAAAGAGAGGTGTATATGTAGATGAGTACCCACTTGACTCTTGAAAGGAAGGAGACATTGGGCTTCAGGAGTGGGAAACTTCATAGAGAGCAATCCTCCTGCAGTTTGCTCCAGTCAATTTCTCATCTTCTTTGACACCTATGAGATCAGGGGGGAAATCACAGTTAGGAACTCTTGTAAGATAAAAAGTTCTTTCTTTTCTTGTAGGCCATCTTATAATAGGTGCATTGCAATCATACACGCAAACCATTTTATGGAGTACAGCGGTACCTCGGTTTTAGAGCAATCCGCTTTAAGAACTATTTGATTTTCAAACTCTGTAAAACCGGAAATAGTGTCTTGTTTTGAGAACTTTACCTTGGTCTAGGAACCGAATCCCATCGATGGAAGGGCACCGGTGGCAGGACGCCTCATTAGGGAAAACGTGCCTAGGTTTAAGAACTGTTTTTGTTTAAGAACGGACTTCCGGAACGGATTAAGTTCGTAAACCGAGGTGCCACTGTAAAAGTCTTTTCACTGCTGACTTAGAATACAGCCATACTGAATTATTATTTTTTAATTGCCCGGATTGTGTAACATATTGGCATTTCTGCTTTTGTTACATTTCTACAGGTCTTTCGTCTACTAGAGGCTTTCAAAGGCCAAAAACAGGTGACCAGAAGTTTTGGTAGTTCTGTGAGTATAATAGTATAACTTTTTCTTTTCTCTTTGAGAAGCTTCTCAATAAAAGTGCTAAATACCAAGATAAAACCAAGCTTGTGGAATTCTCTGCCAGTGTAGCCTAATTCTGTTCCAATACACTTCAGTGCAGTACCACATTTCAGTCTAACTTGACTAAATAGATCTCTGTGTGGTCACACATTTGGAGAAAACCCTGTTGAATAGTGGCAAAAAACCAAATCCCAACCCAAGCCTTGGTTTTTATCACGAGTCTAAGTCTACAAAGAAAATAATAGTTTGTATTTAATGCTTCTCGGTTGGAAAATTTCAAAGCGGTGGAGGACAGACAGTTGAGAACCTTCTTATCTTTGGCACCATTGTTTTGAATATTTTCCCCCTGCAGGCAGTAGACCTATTCATTTTTGCTATCTAGAGTAGATTTCTCTGCAGCTTAAATCCTTAATTATTTTAGAATGATTCCTCAACAGTGATGATATTCAGAACTGTTTCATTGGTTTATTTCAACGATTTTTATAGTGCTTAATTACAGTTGTCACATATGCTTCTATTAGCATAGTGTGAGTTGCCTTTTGCCTTTTATTTCTTCAAGCTTGTCCATGACTTTATTTTGAGCGTGTTTATTTTGTTTGTCTAGCTTGGGGTTAGCTGCGCAAAGCCTCCACAGGGCAGCGGGGTGCCTTCATCCCGCTGCCCTGCAGAGACTTCACAGGCTGTCCCTGAAGCCAGCACAGCAAGAGACTATCCCAGAAGCCAGATCCCTCTTGCTGTTTTGGCTTCTGGGGTTCAGAAATTTTTTCTTCCTGTTTCCTCCCCCCCCCCCCCCAACTAGGTGCGTTTTATCGTCCGGTGCGTCCTATAGAGCGAAAAATATGGTACCCATATTAAAATATCTCACATGTACATCTTGATGGGGAGTAAGGGAACCCTCATAGTAGCATTTAGTGTTTCATAGGCAAAGAGAACTTCAAAAAATTATTGGCTGACAGTGGTAATGCTGTAATAACCAAGTGTCAGTGGAGAATGAGGAAATCTGGAGGATTGTAACTTGTGTAACTGTAAAAGGATTAGCGTTAAACGAATAAATCTCAGGCAAGCAGAACTGTCACTTTCATCTGAGTATCATATTCCACTTTATTTTCAGTCGTGTGTCTTGCTGCGTAGTGATGCTGTTCTGAAAGCTTAGTATGCACTGTTGCTGCTTCTCTGCCAGTTGCTGCTTGAGAGGGTTGCCCTTGCTCTTGCTCTTTCTATTTCTGTTAGAATAAAAAGAAGAAGAAACTTAAAACCATGCAAGCCCCAAGTGGCATACAGATTTCTGTCAATCTGTGTTTAATCATGGTATGTGGTGGCTTTTTTTTTTTTTTTTTTTTTTTTTTTTTTTTTTTTTACATCTAGGTTCAGACAGTAACTTTGATCCCAGGAGATGGCATTGGACCAGAAATATCTGCTGCTGTTGTGGAGATTTTCGCAGCTGCTAAAGTAAGTTACTCTTTGACTGCATGTCTTACGTTCAGTTGGACACCATTGGGATTTGTTCACTTTTGGTATAAGTTAATGAAAGTTCAGTTGAAGGAGAGGTTCAAAAGAGCAAGGGTCTCTTGCTTTGAGAAGCGATCTGCTTGTTGTTTTTCTTTTTAGGATAGAGCAGTAGCTTTCAGAGCAACAAATGCCTTGGCTGTGGTGGCTCTGCGCATAACAGCAGGAGACTTTGATGTGATAGGCTATCCTTGTAATCAAATGAGAGCTCCAAGCCAAGTCACATAAGCTGCTTGCAAAAAAGGATATTCCCCAGGTGACTGTCATCTAAGAAAGCTGAGAGAGACTCCACCAACTGGAACACTTAAATTTAGATTAGTCTACTGCTATATCAGAAGTCTTGGATTGGTTCCAAGCCCTTGTGCACATTGTCTAACAAAACCTCTCAGAACCAGAGATGTTATTTAGTTCCAGTGTGTTTTGGGAAACATTTCTTTTGCTCCTCCATGGACCGCCTGACTACAACTCCCATCAGTCATTCCTAACCAATGGCCATGCTGATGTGAGTAGGGATCCAGCAACACAGGGAGAGTCAAAAGTTTCCTATCCCTACCCTAAGATGTTGGAGACCTGATTTGATTTGCTTATTTGACTTGCCTTTAGTCAAAGACCACTTAGTTTTAGTAAAGACCTAAGAAGTCCCCACTCCACCCTGTAGCCAATAGTAGTGGAAGTAGGTGGGGCATGGGATCGGGAATCACTGAAGTGTATTTGGTAAAAATACTTTGTAAATTAGAATCCAGTCACTTAGACTTAAAGGGGTAGGGAATGAAGGCAATGAAGACCGAATGAAGGCCAACATTTTGTCCATTCCTGTTCCCTAATTCAACTTGCATTGTTTCATTTTATTATGTTACCAATTTTCTAAAAAACAATGAATTTCTAAAAATGGGTAAAAAATCCACCAGAAAATTTTCAACTTTGCTGACATGAACCCACTCATGTTCAAATTCTCAAACATTAATTGACATATATACAAGATTCCTGTAGGGTTCAGTACAATAAAATTGCTCATCAAAACCTGCAACTAACACTTATGATAATGTTGTATAACATTCACAAATCCTCATAGCATGTTTCAGAAACCTGGCTGCTATCTACATCTTATCCCCAACCTGAGTAAGCATAAGGAAGCTACCTAACATTTGTCTGAAAGCCACTCCCTACTAGCAACCAACTGAATAATAAACTTAGATTGAATTGTCTGATGCCAGGGACAGGACAAAAGAACATATGCGATGGTTTCTATTTGCCTTTGTCCACAGGGGCAAATGGCATTCTGCAAATGGCATTTTCTAGAGTCTCCTCTGTAGTATTGCCAAAGGTAGCACGTTCAGTCTGACTAGGATGTACACCCTGCGTAAGGGTAGATTTGATTTAAATCACTAGTCATTAAGACTTGATTTAAATCACTAGTCAGTAAGACTTGATTTAATTATTTTTTTTTACAGAAAGACTCGTTTTTGCTGGTATAATCTTAATATTTACAACCAGATGAAGGTTTCATTTTTGGAATAATAAATTTTCAGAGTAGTTTTTACAGTTATATCAAAAATTACTATAATGTAACTTAAATAGAAAACTATATTTAGAAAGAGGGACGCGGGTGGCGCTGTGGGTAAAACCTCAGCGCCTAGGACTTGCCGATCGCATGGTCGGCGGTTCGAATCCCCGTGGCGGGGTGAGCTCCCGTTGTTCGGTCCCAGCTCCTGCCCACCTAGCAGTTCGAAAGCACCCTTAAGTGCAAGTAGATAAATAGGTACCGCTTTATAGTGGGAAGGTAAATGGTGTTTCCGTGTGCTGCTCTGGTGCCGGTTCGCCGGAGCAGCTTCGTCACGCTGGCCACGTGACCCGGAAGTGTCTGTGGACAGCGCTGGCTCCCGGCCTCTAGAGTGAGATGAGCGCACAACCCTAGAGTCTGTCAAGACTGGCCCGTACGGGCAGGGGTACCTTTACCTTTACCTTATATTTAGAAAGATGTTCCCTCCAAAAACATTTTATTTTAAAAATCCAATTTAAATTTTTAAAATCCGATTTAATTTTTTTAAAAATAATAATAACACCATTGATTTTTATCCACCCTGCCCTGCGTTGATTTGGGTTGGTCAAGTGGAAAAGGTAAGTCACCATTGGCTGTCTGCCTCACGTCATCCTCAGACTTACACAGACACTATTCCTGATTTGGCTACTAAGTTCTTGAAATGTGTTGTCTAACAATCTGTGTTTAATTGTCTGAAATGCAGAATTTTCCAGTAAGGAGTACAGGGTGTCTAGTAGGATTCTGGTCTGCTTAATTTTCTTCTCAATTCCTCTCAACCATCATGACGGTTGCTTATTCAGCTCACATGTCTGTAACCAGACTGTTAGGTTCATTTCTAAAATGCAGCTGCAACCAGAACTTGAATGTTAGCAGCCAGGCTTTTGTTACTAAAAGGCATTGGTTTGTTTCTAGGCATAGGGCAGTGTAGGGGACACGATTTGGTACACCAATATTTTTCAAAGGAAAACTGAAGTCTTTCAGTAGCCTGATTGAAGGCATTTATCCCATATGGTAGTTGTGTGCTTAATCTAGCATTGAACACCCTCAGGACTGCTGGAACATACTGGTTCCCTTTGGAATAATAGAAACGAGTGATCACTGACACACTGCTTTTAGCAGCATTAATGGTGGATTCTCTGAGCTACCCAGCCAGCCTTAAAATGAAAATAAACACCTAGATATTTAAACCACTTAACTTGCTTGATGGCGTTTCCTCTTATCACCCACTTATACTCCCATGAGCCCACAATATCCAGAAACAGCAGCTCATAATAATACTTTCATCCTTCCTGCTAGCTTGTATTCCTGTGTAAATATTTCCCATTATCCAACCTGAAAACACTGGCTGTGTTTTCTCTTTTGCAGGGTGTGTCTCTTTTTCAGGGTGTGTTTTGACAAAGCAAAGTCCCTTTGGCAATTGATCATTTCCCCCCCAAAACAGATCAGAAGATAACATGAAACAATTGTTTTTAGGCACCTGTTCAGTTTGAAGAGAGAAATGTGACAGCAATACAAGGGCCAGGAGGCAAATGGACAATACCTCAAGATGCCAAAGAATCCATGGACAAGAACAAAATAGGACTGAAAGGTATGTTGGAGGTTCCTGTTGACGGGGGGGGGGGGAGAGAAAGAAAGAAAAAAAGGTGCATCTTTACTGAACAAACCTGTGTTTAATTTTGTACAGAGTTTATACAAATAAATTTCTTAGTAATGTTCTGAACTTCCTTATTCTATAAGCCCACAAAGCCGTTAATAGTTTGTGTCTAAGGACAGAAGCATCATTATTGGAGAAATGGTGTTGTTGCAGCATGTCATGTTCTCCAGCTCTGTAAAGTGCACAGAGCACCCTAGTTGTGTGTTTACTCAGAAGTAAGTCTGACTATTCAGTGGGGCTTACCCCCAGGTTGTGCGAGTAGGATTGCAGCCTCTCAAGGACAACTTGTATATATTCTTCAAACATTGCATTTGAACTCCATGTAAGTCTTCTTGTAAGACACCAGAATAATACGATCCCTTCACTATGAAAAGAACAACCTCAAAAGTGTTTCCTTCTACTGGTGCTTAATGACTCAGCTCTCTTACATATGGGGCAGCCAGTGTTGTGTAGTAGAAAGTGGACTTCAGCTGGAGAAACCTGTGGCTAAATCCCTATTCAGCCATGAAGCTCACTAGGTGACCTCTAGCCAGAGCCCATCATTATCACTCAACCTAACCTCCTTCAAAGAGTTGTTAATAAATGGGAAAACCCCATGAACTCTGATCTCCTGGAGCAAACAAGATCCACAAATCTAACATACAATTTGTCAAGCTCCCCTTCTTTCCCCCAGTATGTATAGGAAGTGTCATGAGAAACATTCCCTAAGCCTAATTTTTGATGGGTGTGAAGGTCCAGAGTAGAGATGTGAAGTTTCTGGAAATTTTGAAGCCATAAGGAAAAAACATTTCCCCCCTGTTTTTCCCCAGAAATAATTCACATTTTGGAAAAATTGAAAAGAAGTTCAGTGTTACAAATTGCATGAAACACATTGTAGATAAAAGTATTTGCTTGCAATAAAACAGGTAGCCACCCCCTTTCCCTCAAAAGCAACAAAAAAGGCAAGAAACCATAAACATAAAAAACAATCAGATTTGCCTCTTAGCACCAACAGCAAATAAAGTTAAGGTCCACCTCAATATTTAAACTCCATAGGAGGTCTACCCTTTGAGTACTGCTTTAAAAAGAAGGGGGGAGACACAACATATACAGTCACTTTATTCTATCTCATTTTCTGAACTACTGCCATCATTCCTCCTTTGTCATTTTTCTCATGGACTTCAAAAAAGGGGGGCTGCCCCCCCCCAAAAAAAATTCCGATTTCCGCCCCAGGCCTTTCCATCTGGGGCAAAGCATAAGGAAGATTTTTTGCATGCCAGGCCCAGAAGTAACCAACATTCAGTTACTGAATAGTATGTTGCACTAAGGCTCAAACTCTGTTTGAAAGGAAAAGGAGTGTGTGTGTTTTTTAATTGAATTTGTTATTATATATTATAAACCGCATGATGGTAAGAGAGCTTTCTAAACAGTTTACAAAAATGTACAACAGAAGATTAAAATGATTGATAAAACACAGTTAAAAGCAGGTATTTAAGAGTATTCAGAAGATCAGCAATGGTTAAAAGGAAGTAAATCGCATGCAGCTTCCACGTGTTCAGATGGGCTGCCCTAATGAAAATGTTTTGAGCAGTTGCCGGAAAGAGTACAGTGAGAGAACCTGCCTGGTGTCAGTCGGCAGGGAGCTCCAAAGTGGGGGTGCTGGAAGGCCTGGGGGAAAAATGGGGCAGTTTTTTCCAAAGCCATTTTTTTCAGGAAAAATGGGGGGGGAATAGTGTATGGAATATTCAAACTATATCAAACTATTTTTTTCAAATTTTCCGGAAAAAAATGGCTTTGGGAAAAACCGGGGGGGGGACACCTGGTTTTCCCCCAAATTTTTCTGGTTTTTTTCCAGACCTTCCTATCTCTAGTCCAGAGTGATGATGGAGGAGCCCTTCACTGGGGAAGGGAACCTGTAGCCCTTCACATAACCCCTGAGGAACCACCTCCATCAGGTCCAGCAAGTATGGCCCAAAGGCCAGGGAGTCTAGGAACACCTAACCCCAGCCTCTGCCCGCCCCAGCCCCATTCCATCTTGTTTGAATATTCTTTTTTTTTTAACCCAGAAAAAGGGGGGAGTCCTAAATAAATATTCTACCTACTTCTGCTTGCTTGCATTTTCATGCATACTTCTCCCCAAAATTGCCTCCAAATATTTTCTCAATTCTGATGCTGAATTTTCTTTGTTATGCTAACTGTAAAGGTAACATAGCTCAGTGGTGGAGTGCATCCTGTGCGTGCTGAAGGTCCAAAGTAATTCTTTGCAGCTCTATTTAAAAGAAACACAGCAGGTGACAGAGAAGAGCTCATCCTGAAATCCTGCAGATCTATTTGCTATTGTATACAATGCTGGACAATAGACAAAGTGTGGCCTTCTTTGAAGCAGGTTCCTGTGCAGTTTCCCGAAGGAGAGGAAGATCTGGGACTGCAGGACCTTTCCATTGCCTCTCCTGAAGAACCAACCATTCCTGACTCCTCTCCAAAATTTTCTGTTCCTGCTGCAAAGTCTCCATTACTAAGAATTAGGGCCTGCTTTCCCCCCTTCTCCTTCTCCCTCCCAGTCCCTTTTCCTTTTGAGTTGTCTCTCTTGGATTGTGGGCCCGAGGACAGGGACTGTATTGTCAGAGATATTTTTAAGCTGGTCTGGGAGCCTTTTTTTTTTTATTTTTTTTTGCCAAACAGAATAAAAATGGCAATAATTTATAATCTAGTGACCTCCAAATGTTTTGGACTAACACTTCTGTCATCTCTGGCTGTGCTGGCTGGGGCTGATGGGAGTTGTAGTCTGAAGCGCCTGGAGGGTGCCGTGTCAGGGAAGGCTGTCCTGCCTGATCCCCACACAGCCGCTTCTCTTACATGTTTTCCTTCAGCAGATTCCAAAAGTTTGAAATCATTCTTGCCTTTTGAAATACTGCAGCTGAGGATGAGGAACTTTCCTGCAGAATATATCCCCATTGTCAGGGAACTGGGGGCTGAGAAGGGGGAAATGCTGGGGAAATACAGAGATAAGCCTCCGATCGTAAGCAGCTGCACCTCATCATAGGGGGAGGATGACGAAGGGTTGTCAGGAAGCAATGAATCAGGGAGGGGGGAGCAATTTCCGGGGTTTAGCTCTTCACGTAAAAGAGAAAGGAAGAGGGGAGGGCTCCTGAAATGGTTATGCTGGAGAAAATGAAAGGAGGGGTCAGTCTCGGCAACTGATAGCGAAAGAGCTGGACGTGCTCTGAGAGCTCTGTGGTGTAAATAGTAAAATGGACCTAATAAATCCTGTAAAGCTGGCTGGAGTCCTGGGCTTATCTCTTCTAGCACCCACCAATCATCCGTGACACCCATTGTGTAAAATTCTGCTTAGTGCTGAGCAGTATGCCATGGCAAGTTGTAGCAAGAGCCTGGCAACAAGGACAGGCGTTCATTATAAGGGAGAACGTCCCCTCCTCCCATCTCAAACCAGAGGGTTTAACTCTGGAGTGGCAGGGAGGAATGCTGTTGCTAAGGAGCAGGCCGTGGTTTGACAATTGTACCTCGTCCATTTCTTTTGTCTGTTTCAGGCCCTTTGAAAACACCCATAGCTGCTGGCCACCCGTCAATGAACCTGCTGCTTCGTAAAACATTTGACCTTTATGCAAACGTCCGCCCTTGTGTATCAATTGAAGGCTACAAAACCCCTTACACAGATGTCGACATAGTCACAATACGAGAGAACACAGAAGGGGAATACAGCGGAATCGAGCACGTGGTATGAGTGCAGAATGCAGCCAGAAGCTAGAAAGCACTTGAACAAATTAGCTTCCTTAACTGCTGTAGAATTTTCAAATGCAGTATTCTGCGGGCTGGATGATTCACCAGACCAGCCCTGCCGGACCTATACAGAATTACTTTCTTAGGAGTCTGCTTTCGACTACCCGTGTAACCGTTTTGTGTCTTTCAGATTGTTGATGGTGTTGTACAGAGTATCAAGCTCATCACAGAAGATGCCAGCAAACGCATTGCTGATTTTGCCTTTGAGTATGCCAGAAATAATCAAAGAAGCAAAGTTACAGCTGTGCACAAAGCAAACATTATGTACGTGACCATGATGGTAACCCAGTTCTAATGTGCAAAAGTCATGCTGCTTTTTTTAAGGGACAAGCGTGTGTTGGTTTGCTGCCTCCTGTTGCTGCCGGAAGAGGATGCCATACATTTGATGGAGCCTTCTTTTGGCAGTCAGGCCTTTGTCAAAGTTTAAACTCCATTCCCTTGCTCTACTTTAAAAAAAAACAGTTTATATGTTAACTCACTAAAAAATAGTTCTTCACGTGTTTATGAAATTATTAGCCACTCTCCGTCAAAACCATGGAGGAGAGTGGGAAGGTAACCTGCTGCTCCCGGCCTCCCCACATCCAGAAGCTGAGTACGGAGTTGCGTGCATGTGTGGGAATGGTGTTGGGCAGAGTCTGGTGGCTTTAAAAGAGGATTAGACAAATTCGTGGCGGCAAAGGCTGGGACTGGCTATTAGCCACAATGGCTATGCTCTCCCTCCATTATCTGAGACATTAATGCGGTTGAATAGTGGTTGCTGGAAACCCCAGGAGGGGAAGGGGCTCGTGTGCCCCTGATCCCACTTGCTGGTTTCCCATGGGGGCACCTGGCTGGCCCTTTGCCCTGAGCTCTCAGGCACTTCTTACGTTCTTAATTTCTGATCGCATTGAAGAGCCTTTTTTGGCTGAAGAGAGGGATAAAAATGCTCTAAATAAATAACAGCCAGGTTCTCATCTTCCACTGGGGCCATCAGAAGGGCTCCTGTTTCTCTCCCCAGTTTAGTCTGCTCTATATTAGAATGTAAGAAAAGCACTCTTGTTTAGAAACCTTCCCTCCTAAATTCCATTCGGTTAGAAAACCTTTTCCGCCATAGCCCAGTATGTTTTATTAGATGAAAATAATTCACCTCTTTTTCCTGTTTTTGGCAGATGGTGCATACTAGAGGTAATTATGAAAGTAAGCCTTAACTAAAAAAAGGTTTTGCATAGAAAAAAGCTAATTTTGTATTAATAAGGATGTTTCAGTAATCCAGGATAGCACAATTAAATTTTGCAACATTTGTCTAAAACTGTAACTGAGAATAACCTAAACCTGATGCTGCTGCATGAATACTGTAATCGAATTTGTATTCAAATCTGCACCTAGGGGAAAAAAAGAAATTTTTGCCAAACGTTTGGTACAATACAGTGTTGCTGTATTATTTATAGCTGAGTGTGCCCACTTCTCTTGTCTCCATAACTTGGAATCACGATGCTCCTGAACAAGGAAGGCAGAGCAACTTTTCAGTTTTACCACAGACTTCTTTTTTTAATAGTCTATGGTTAAATACCTTGCTTTGAACATTTTATGGTGGGTGAGGATATAGACAGTTTGTATTTATGTATCTTAAACACAGTTTTGAAGGCCACTTGATACCATGGCCAAAGCAGCAATGGCTCACCTGTGTCTCTCTTGGTGATCTTGGACTACCGTTTTCTTCGCCATTGGCCTTGCTGGCTAGGACTGATGGGAGTTGAAGTCCAGCATTATCTGGAGGGCCACAGGTTAGCCGTCCTTGCTCTGAAGAGTTTACATCATGTTACGGTCACTGAACAATCTGACTCAAATAGTACCACAGCATTGTCCCTGGGTGGCATGAAAGAGACCTTCCCTTGTATATCTGGAGGGCCCTTGCCAGCCACCCTAGCGGATCAGCTACAGCGGTAAGTGAAAAATTTCTCTTGGCTGGTCAGATATGTTTTGACCTTTCGTTCTCTTCAGTGGACTTGTCTACTATAATATATACTGAGCACAGCCAAAAAGAAGAGAAACGTTTTGACCTCGCTGGCTTCCAGAGGGGTGTGTGCGCGCATCATTATGTGTATAGATCTCTGTGACCATTCAAGAGAACAGTATCAAATATAACAATAGCTTGTAAGGTCTCTGTGTAATTTAGTGATTGAGAGTGTTCCGATCCCCGTTCATCCATGAAGCTACTGGGAGACCTTGTGCCAGTCTCAGCCTCACCTGCTCCACAGGTTTATTGGGAGAACAAAACACACATTTGCTCCCTTAAGCATCTAGGAGGAAAGGCAGGTTATAAATTTTCCCTGAGAAATACAATTTCTGCTTTTAGGGCAGAAAGAATAAAAATAACTTGTTATATCTCCATCTTTCTCATTCTCTTAAAATTTGTGAATTGCTTACGATTAGAAAGGAATATTACCTTTGAAACATGGATATTTGCTTCTGAACTCAAACTAAACGCCCGGCATGTTACACTATAGTTGCCGTTGACAGGTGCTTTCCCTCTCTACTACTGTCCCCTCCCCCATGTCTGAATGCAACATGAATCTGGTACGCACATCTAGGACCCTAAAATGCGGCTTTTTTTCCCTTGATGCACAGGCGAATGTCTGACGGGTTGTTCCTGAAAAAATGCAGGGAAGCAGCAGAAAACTGTAAAGACATTAAGTTTAATGAAATGTATCTCGACACTGTGTGTCTGAATGTGAGTATATAGCAAACTCATGATTAAGGTGCTTCATAGTTGCTATTTTCCTTCTAAAAACAGCAGCTTATTTCTTGTCCCTTAGATGGTGCAGGATCCATCTCAGTTTGATGTCCTTGTAATGCCAAACTTGTATGGTGACATCCTTAGGTAAGGAGACTTGAGCTAGTGTGAAGGATTTTATGTACGTATTTATTTATAAGATGATTATAAACTCTTCAACACAAGCTCTCAAAGTGATGTGCAAATAATGAACAAATCTGTGAAAAGCAGCCATAAAACTAGGCCTTATTTCTTGCAGAAGCCAATTTTGGCCTGCTTCATAAAATGGAACTTGAAGCATGTTAACTCAGAAAGTGCCCACTGGAGATGCCCAAGGGGCACTTGTGCCTTTCTCCACCTGGTTTGCCAGCTACAGCTCTTCCTGGATCAGAATAGCCTGGCCTCTCAGACACACACTAGTTATATCCTGGGTAGATTTCTGAAATGTGTTGTGCTCCGGGCTAAGCTTCAAGATGTTCTGGAAGCTGCAGCTGGTCAGAATGCTTCTGGCCAGCAGGGAAGGACCACATCCCTCCAGTTCTTAAAGCAGTGCACTGGCTGCTGGTCAGCTGTGAGCCCAATTCAGGGTCTTGCTGTTTTACATGTAAAGCCCTAAACCACTTGGGACCCAGTAACTTGGGTGTGTTTTCCCCAGTGCCAACTGATGCCTGCGTTACAATCTGCAGGAGATGCCTTACTCATCCCATCTCTTGGAGTTGTCAGGACAATGTCATGAGGTGGCATTCTCTGTGGTGATGCCCTGCTTATAAAACTTTTCCAGCTGACATCCAGTTCACCCCCACAATAAAAACGTATTAAATGAAGACTAAAGACATCTCATTTGTCCAGGTTTTTGGACCACGATTGGAATTGATTTTTCAGAGGTGATTATAGTTATTTGTCACCACTGATTTTGTGTTGTTGTTTTTTAATTGTATGTTCTATTCATTTAGTCTGTGTTGTTGGCCACCCTGTACTTCTGATTGGAGGAACGGTTTTGGGATACCTAAAAAGTCCATCAGAGTGCATCACTTGCTCACAGCTTCTCTGGGTCTTCCTGTGCTGCAGCTTTCTAAGTTTGTCTGGCCTCCTCCATTCCTCAAGCCATGCTTTGCACTGGCCTGCTCCTATTTGCACCCAGTAAACAGGCTGTGCGTGACTGCACTCTGCTACCAAACACTCCTTTTGTGTTTTAGGTCCTTGTGAAGATCATCATCTGTTTTCCACTAGCTCTGCTTTTTAGCTCCCTTTTCCCCCGAACTTCCCACTGCAAGTATATAATAATTTAAAGAGCCTAAATATACCAACTCAAATATTTATTGTGTGTTTGCATTTTCCTTCCAGTGATTTGTGTGCAGGATTGATTGGAGGTCTTGGAGTAACACCAAGTGGAAACATTGGTGCCAATGGAGTCGCAATCTTTGAATCAGTAAGATTCCTATTCTGAAATAAAATTCTGGAACTTGAACTCTGATTTTTGACATAATTGCTTTCTGGAAAAGCAAATGCCTCTCTGCGGGGTTTTAATAAGTTCATAACAGGTCTGTTCAAGTGCATGTAACAAAGAAGCTTGACTTCAGGACTGGATTTCTGCAGTGCGCTCTGAGGGGGGCTTCCCTTGCACTCAATCCAGAAGCTGCAGTTAGTGCAGAACACTGCAGCATGGTTGCTCGCTGAAGGGAGAACCTGTCAGCTGGTGACACCTCTGCTCAGAGATCTGCACTAGCTGCCCATTTGCTGCCAAGCCAGGTTCTAAGGGTTACTAATGCTATACAGTTGTGCCTTGTTTTGTGTCCGGGATCTGTTCTGGAGCCCTGGCCGCTAGCCAGAAAGGACATAGGGCAAAGCACCGCCTCTGTGCACGCACACAAAGCGCGATTTAGTGCTTCTGTGCATGCGCGATTGGCAAACCCGGAAGTAACCTGTTCCAGTACTTTCAGGTTTGCCACGGATGTTCGACGGAATGGATGCTAGACAAGGCGGATGTTCACGGAGGTATAACTGTATAACAGGGTAGGATATGTTTGTTTGCAGGATTGCCTTATCCCATATATGCCTACTCAACTGCTTCAGTCTATTACAGGTGCTGCATCATGCTTGTTCCTCACTTGTAAGAAATAGATCTGCAAGTCTGGCAACCCGTACGCTTTGGAACTCCCCGCCTGTTGACATCAAGCAGGCGCCTTCACTGTAGTCTTTTTAATGCCAGATGAAAACATTTTTGTTTAGACAAGCCTACCCAGATATGTAGAAGTTGCAACTATTTTGTTTCTTTCTAGCAATTGTTTGTTGGAATATTTCTAAATGCTTTTTTAAAACCAATTTAATGTTTTAGTCTATATTTGTGTAAAACACTAAGAGGTTTTTTATTTTATTTTTTTACAATCAAATGGTATACAATTTTTGTTAAATAAGAATTCCTGAACGTAGCAATATTTTGAAAAGAGGATCTTCCAAGGCAACATTTAAGCTGCCTTGGAAGAATTAGGTAGAATTAGGAGTTCAAATTCACTTCTCATATGGAAATATTGTTCAATATACAGCTGAGTTTGTTGTTCTTCCAAACAAGGATGTAGTGTTTTGTTTTGTTTTGTTTTGTTTTTATGTTGACTAGCATTCACTCTTGGGAAATTGCTTAGAATCTTGGCCGCACACTGGTGTAGCACAGAGGCCAGCTGCATCTGCCACTACCAGCAGTAGACATGTGATAATAGACAGGCTTTGTGAAAAGCACAAACTTTCCACTGCTGGTGCAAGATAATCCACTGAATCAATGCTTTAGTTTTAGCCAAAGAATCAGGTCAGCATTCTTTATTTTCATAGGTTCATGGAACAGCTCCAGATATTGCTGGAAAGGACTTGGCAAACCCAACAGCACTTCTGTTGAGTGCAGTGATGATGCTGCGACACATGGGAATGCAAGAATATGCCACGAAAATAGAAGATGCCTGTTTTGATACCATCAAAGATGGAAAGGTATGCCTTGTCAGGGTTCACCTATCACTGGCGATCTTGCAATCCAGTTTCTACAGAATGTGATTCAGATAGGACTAGAGCACACGCTATGCCAGGTTGGAAGAATTTTCTGTTGTCCAGTTCCACTGACACTGAACAAGTCTCCCACTCTCTTCTACCAGGTCTATAAATGCTCTCTTTTGCAGCACATACACGAAAACTCTACTAGGTCTATAGCGCCACCAGCTCCAATTTGTGTCTCAGTATTTGCTTTAGTTTCTAGCTTATAAACAGTGCTGCTAGCATTATCTGTTAACTGGACGTTGGCATTTAGTTGGGAGACAATATTTAGCTGTTTGTATCCAGCAACAAGCATGTGTGCTCTGCAAAGAGGAGAAAGGAGTGCTTATCTCTACCTGCAGGGTAGGTAGATTCTCTTCTGCGTGAACTAGATTGGTTTCTTACGATTGAATTGAGCAGCGGTGAAAACGGAGAGCTTTCTTATCATCCCAGCGCTATGTGTTAAGTGAGCATATAGGTGCTGAATAAGATTTTGATTAGACGTTCAGAGTGCCATTGGCACTCAAAATTCATACAGGTGGCACACGGGGGATACTATAGCACCTGCTATACAAGCAGAAGATCCCAGGTTCAATCCATTGCCTTTGTTGGCTCAACCCAGACTTGTCACAATAATTATGAAGAGGACACAGTCAGATGGAGCAACTGGCACTTGGCCCTGCTGAGCACAAAACACTTGATGTCCATCCAGTTGAGTTGGGACCACTTTGCAAAATGTCCAGCCTTTGAGATGATGGTTTGGAAAACCTTCCCTTAATCAAGAACTAGCACAAGTCTTCTAACTTTGGGCACAGAAGGACAACACCACACTATGTGTCTTGATCCTGCAAAAGACTATGTGGCTGTAGTTAGCTAATTACATTTCATTAAACTGAAGCGTTTAAAGTGTCCATTCTTCTTCACCATCTTTTTCCATCTTTCTTTTCAGGTCTTGACCAAAGATTTGGGAGGCAACTCAAAGTGTTCAGAGTTCACAGCAGAGATCTGTCGCAGAGTAAGGGCGATGGAATAAAGCATCTCCATAGCTTGTTGGTTTCAGTTGCCCCTGATGGAAACTGTTACTAAAACGTGTTAGCTGCCTGCAATTCATTTCCATTTTGTTTGCCTTTCTCTTGAGGAAAGCAAACTGTTAGACGGAGAGCCTCTCTGTTAAATAAATTCAGCCCAAATGGATGCGATTCTTCTTGTGCCTGCTTCTGGTGGACTTTTTCCAAGTGCTTGTTTTTATTTATTACATGTCAGACACATTTTTGTAAAGTCAAATTCCTTTTTTTTTTAGCTCTTATTGCACGCAATTGGCAACCTTCCATTTTGAGTCCTCCTACTTTTTCAGAAACACTTGATGTATTTAAGTGTGCAGATATGCAAAAGTCTGATTTTATCACTACAACTTTGAAGGAGGCTTGGTTTGTTATCCATTAGGAATGCAGGAGGTGGCACAGCCTTAAAATAGCACAATATATTTTTCTAAAGCAAAGAACAAGAAAGCTTGCTATACAGAGGTACTCCTGGAATCTGTCCTTCAGAAGCATAAATAAAGACTTGTAACTGTGGAAACATGGGTTTGAGCTGTTATATATAAAATGCAAGGTATCTCTGTCCTTCTGGGACTGAAGGGAAAGTGTTAAAAGTAAAAATGACTACTCCTTTTTAGTCTTCTTTGCACATTTACTTGCTCTAGCATTCCTCAATGAAGATTAGTTACGCAACTTGATTTTGTCGGCTACAGATTGTGAAGGGAATGTTTAATGCTCTCCTGTCTAGATGGGATACCAAATGTATAATTTACAGTTACTACTGTATGTATGTAATGGCTTTTGTATTGTGCTCAATGATATATACATACATATATATATATCTTCAGTTTACCGTTAAATAGGCTGCTTGGTCATTAATTTTTTTTGAGCCAATCAGATGGAGAGATTTTATAGTTAATCCAGGCCAGGAGATAATGGTGCGTGGCTCATAGCTCCTGCTGGAAACAGCAGCTTTGCACCTCCTGGTGACATTTGGTAACACTAAAGTGCATGATGCTGTACCCCTGAGCTGTGCCTTGCCAAAGCAACAACAGATGAAGTGGGAAAATGGATGGGCAATCTTACAGCATCATTGTGCATAGATTGTGTTGAGCAGATGTTATCCAGGGGCAAAGGAAGAGAACTTTTCAGGGATGCTGTATTTTGCAACAACTCTTGCTGCAAGTTCATAACATGCCCCTTGCACGTTTTGTTATGGGCATGAATGTTACAAACCTTTTGATCACCTAGAAATCCCCTGCCAGATTCTCTCCATTGTGTCTCTATCCAAGAGGAATAGGAGAACTGTGGCTGGGCCTGCAGCTGGCTGGTGCCACCAGTCTGGCTTTTTCTCCCACACATTAAAGCCGTCGTGCAGGATTGCTTTGCCTTGCCAGTTTCCATGTAGTATCTGCACAACCAGAAGTAGGGATGAGAGTGAGGCCTTGGGAACTTGTCTTTTTTGTGTTTTGCTTCTGCACTGAGAGGTACCTTTCAATATTGTGTATTAATATGGGCTTCTCAAAGAACTTGGGAAACAGAGCTCTTGCTTGATCTGTGTGTGTTATATTTTTGCTGCTTCTGTCTGTCTCTTGGATTGTACTGAGGTTACCATTCGCACACAAAGTAAGGAAAAAATAAAGTCCCTCCCCCCAAAACACGCTGCCTTTGTTTTGGTTCTTAATTAGGTGACTAGTTTTAAGTGCTTTGAATAATCCAGCCTTCAGAGAGCTCATGTCCCTCTGTGGAAGTCCATATTGGCTCTTCTGGAAAAGGCAGCTCTGAGTACATCTTCTTTAAACTGGAAGGCAAAAATTAGTCCCCTTAGTAGCTTTTGCTAGTAACATACAACTGGCTCATTAAAAATATATAATGTGCTAAATAGTGTTGGTGTGAAGAAATGCATTTCAGGTGCCTGAGGTGTTAAGCAATAAATGTTGCAATGTCCTCAGTCCAGAATCTACTGGTTTTCATTCATAGTGTAGCAGAGGATGGATTGGTTAATCAGTTTTAAAGCCTTTTGATGGGCAAATAAGTGCCCCAAAGTAACATGGCCATGTTGCTCCTTTGAAGTGTGTAATTTATAATTCAAAAAAATGTACCACAGGCAACATCTCCACATCAATGTTGTCTGCTGCATAATCTATAAAACAATTGTGCACCAGCCTTCTTGAACCTAGAGCACGATCCAGAATTATTGGACTACAACTTTAATAGTCGCCCAAAAAGTTGGAGGACAACAGGTTGATGAAAGCTGACCTATGCTTCCTTTCCCATCTCCCCAAAATCTTGCTTCCAGGCATGGCCAGTGGTAGAGGTGAAGAAAGAGGTACAGTCAAACCTAGTTGTTGCATGTAATCCGTTCTGGAAGCCCGTTCGGCTTCCAAAATGTTCAACAACTGAAGCGTGGCTTCCGATTGGCTGCAGGAGCTTCCTGTACTCAAGCGGAAGCCACGTCGGACGTTAGGTTTCCAAAAAACTTTGAAAACCGGAACACTTCCGGGTTTTCGGCATTTGGGAGCCGAAACGTTCCAAAACAGGCTTTTGGGAACCAAGGTTTGACTGTAGTTGAGTGGCCTCTCCTCACAGTTTTATGGCAGGTGTATTCTGCAACATCCCAGAATTGGTAGGCCAGCATGCCACTGCTCTGACAGCATCACGAGCACAAATCGTGGTGTTGTTGTAAGTTTGGCCCAACTCATAGTCATGGACATGCCTTAGACCTGGTGTTCACCTCTAGTGACGTGGGTGATCTGACACTAAGTAAAAGTGAAACGAAGGAAGTGCCATGGTCAGATCACTTCCTGGTGCAACTGGACTTCTCCGCAACCCTTCCCCTCTGCAGGGAGGTGGGACCAATTCGGATGGTCCGCCCCCACCACTTAATGGATCCAAATGGTTTCCAGAGAGTGGTAGGGGATGCTTTATCCCATGTTGATGGCCTTTCAGCTGCTTCCCTGGTGGCCCGCTGGAATGCGGAGTTAACCAGGGCTATCGACTGTCTGGCTCCGAAGCGCCCTCTCCGATTGCATGGAGCCCGGACAGCCCCGTGGTTTTCTTTGGAGCTGAGGGCGATGAAACAATCGTTGAGATGGCTAGAGCGTCTGTGGCAGAAAACTCACTCCGAATCTGACTGGACACAGGTTAGAGCTCAACGTCGAGCCTACCAAGTGGCGATAGCGACGGCGAAGAAGACTTTCTTCACCGCCTCTATTGCATCTGCAGAAAATAGTAGCAGGAGACTCTTTCAGGTGGTCCGCAATTTAACAGAACCACCTTTACCACCGGGGCCTTGTAAAGACCCCAAGATCTCCTGCAACAATTCTGCAAAGTTTTTTTGCAGATAAAATCACTCATATTCGGAAGGAGCTAGACACCACTGTGGGAGCAGGGCTGGGGTGGGAGAGTGCTAGAGCTCTGTCTGGTCAAGTTGTATGGAATCAGTTTCAATCCGTTACCCCTGAGGATGTGGACAGGCTGCTCGGACGCGTGAAACCAACCACCTGTCTCCTTGATCCTTGCCCATCCTGGCTAATAAAAGCAAGCCGGGAAGGGCTGGGCGATGGGCTCTGCGGGGTGGTGAATGCTTCCCTCTGTGAGGGAGCCTTCCCAGACCCGCTGAAAGAGGCGGTCATTAAACCGCTTCTTAAAAGACCATCTTTAGACCCGGCCAGTATGGCTAACTATCGCCCAGTCTCAAATCTTCCATTCTTGGGCAAGGTGATTGAGCGGGTGGTTGCTGAACAACTCCAGGCATGCCTGGAAGAAGTGGACCATTTGGATCCCTTCCAATCGGGATTCAGGCCTCATCATGGGACTGAAACTGCCTTGGTCGCGCTGGTTGATGATCTCCGGCGGGCTAGGGACAAAGGTGAGAGTTGTTTCCTAGTTCTGCTGGATCTCTCAGCGGCCTTTGATACAATCAACCATAACATCCTTCTGGACCGTCTAGAGGGGTTGGGAGCTGGGGGCACTGTCATACAGTGGCTCCGCTCCTTCCTCCTGGACCGTGTTCAGAAAGTGGTGGTGGGGGATGAGCCCTCACTTGTGGGGTGCCTCAGGGTTCCGTCCTCTCCCCCATGCTTTTTAACATCTATATGAAGCCACTGGGAGAGATCATCAGGCGGTTTGGACTGGGTGTCCATCAATATGCAGATGATACCCAGCTCTACCTCTCTTTCAAATCAGAACCAGTGAAGGCGGTGAAGGTCCTGTGTGAGTGCCTGGAGGCGGTTGGAGGATGGATGGCGGCTAATGGATTGAAGTTGAATCCTGACAAGACAGAAGTACTGTTTTTGGGGGACAGGGGGCGGGCAGGTGTGGAGGACTCCCTGGTCCTGAATAGGGTAACTGTGCCCCTGAAGGACCAGGTGCGCAGCCTGGGAGTCATTTTGGACTCACAGCTGTCCATGGAGGCGCAGGTCAATTCTGTATCCAGGGCAGCTGTCTACCAACTCCACCTGGTAGGCAGGCTGAGACCCTACCTGCCCGCGGACTGTCTCACCAGAGTGGTGCATGCTCTGGTTATCTCTCGCTTGGACTACTGCAATGCGCTCTACGTGGGGCTATCTTTGAAGGTGACTCGGAAACTACAACTAATCCAGAATGCGGCAGCTAGACTGGTGACTGGGGGCGGCCGCCGAGACCACATAACACTGGTCTTGAAAGACCTACATTGGCTCCCAGTACGTTTCCAAGCACAATTCAAAGTGCTGGTGTTGACCTTTAAAGCCCTAAATGGCCTTGGCCCAGTATACCTGAAGGAGCGTCTCCACCCCCATCGTTCTGCCCGGACACTGAGGTCCAGCGCCGAGGGCCTTCTGGCGGTTCCCTCATTGCGAGAAGCAAAGCTACAGGGAACCAGGCAGAGGGCTTTCTCGGTAGTGGCACCCCCCCTGTGGAACGCCCTCCCATCAGATGTCAAAGCGATAAATAACTGCCTGACATTCAGAAGACATCTTAAGGCAGCCCTGTTCAGGGAAGTTTTTAATCTGTGATTTTAGTGTATTTTTTGTTTCTATGGAAAGCGCCCAGAGTGGCTGGGGAAACCCAGCCAGATGGGCGGGGTACAAATAATAAATTATTATTATTATTATTATTATTATTATTGGTGTGCAGTAAAAATATCCTTGGCTAGTCCTCCACAGGGGTTCCCTATCCCTGCTCTTGCCTCAATACAAACAATGCAATCCTACATGTTGATTTGGAAATAAGTCCTTTTAAGGAACATAAGGAATATGTTTTGTGTTGTCATGTTCTTTGCTACTACAATGAATCAGCATAAATTCAAGAGGTGTTTTTAACCTTTGGATTCAGAAGGTGCTTGGTTCATATCTTCAGCTAAGAGAGACCTGGATTCGCCAGGGCCAGAAAAAGCCTCAACTTGTAAGATTGGGTTAAAAGACCATTGATTTAACTCATAGTTACATCTTGTGCCAATGCCTGTTTTTCATTTGTTGCAAAACTTGAATTCTGTAGTCTGATCTACATAATTTTATTTTAATTTGTTATTCAGCTGACAAAAATACAGCCTGCAGCCATTCAATGAAAGCAGTCCTGTGGCAGTTAGTACAAATTAGTATGTTTAACTTCATTTGGTAGAAAACATAACTTTAAAAAATATGGTTATGTTTTCAACAGAAATAGTGTTTGAATCTGAATTGTTTCCAGAAGCTATAAATAAAGATGGAAAAATTTAGCTTAGTTCACATTTTAATGTGACCAGACCAAATTAGCGTGTCCCAAAACAATGCAGGAAACAAAAGCGCAGCTAACTTTCGAAATTATACTTCTCTGAATTTTGCAGTGCAGTTCTCCAACCAAAGGTATATATCTTATAGGAAAGTGTGCATAAAACTACATATATTGGTCAAAATTAATGTCAAAATGTATTATACTTAGGAAAACTGCATACAAAATATGTATATTAGGAGAATCCTACTCACTGATTGTGACAGTAAAGAATCAAAATTGTAGGGTTGGAAGGGAAGCCGAGGACTGTCTAGTCCAACCCCATACAATGCAGGAATCTAAACTAAAGCATCCCTGACAGCTAGCCATCCAACCTCTACTTGAAAACCTCCAAGGAAGGAGAGGCCACCACCTCCCAAGGGAGTCTGTTCCACTGTCAGCTCTCATCAGAAAGTTCTTCCTGATGTTCAGTCAGAATCTCCTTTTTTGTAACTTGAAGCCACTGGTTTGGGTTCTACCCTCTGGAGCAGGAATAAACAAGCTTGTTCCATCTTCCATGTGACAGCCCTTGAGATATTTTTAAATGGCTATCATTTCTTCTCTTTGTCTCCTCTTTTCCAAGATAAACATACCCAGCTCCCTCAACCGTTCCTCATAAGGCTTGGTTTCCAGACCCTTGATCATCTTGGTTGCCCTCCTCTGCACATGTTCCAGCTTGTCAGTATTCTTAAATTGTGGTGCCCAGAATTGGACACAGTATTCCAGGTGTGGTCTGACCAAGGCAGAAGAGAGATTTGTGTATTTGGAGAAACGCACACTAGAATGATGGTGAATTTTAGTGAATGCTTTTCTTTAAAGAAACAAACTGATGTTGAAAAGTTGCAAATCCTATTTAAGATTGGACTGAAAATGAGAAATCACAACTGGCAGATTGGTCCATCCCTATCAATAACTGAATGAAAATC